AGTAATAGAAAAGTAACCCTAAGATCATTAAAAAGAATAAGTCCAAAACCCCCACAAAAGTAGGGCCCATTCGAACCCCAAAATTCTAAAAAAAAAACACCCAGGGGTCGACCACTAATGTGGTGGTGTCGATAAGAGTAAACCCCTCCCAGACTGGTCTCGACCCTTGTGGCCAACTACAAAATAAAGGTGTCGACACCACCAAGGCTGGTGTCGACCCTAAATTCCAGTAACACTTCCAGAACACAGCAACAGATATGGGTCGACCCTTAGGAAGGCTAGTGTCGACCCCAAAACAGAATTTCTAAGTTTCCAAAGAACTTTTCAACAAGAACAAGTGCGAACGGACAAACCCATCAAATCTAAATCGAATTGTACTCCTCCAAAACCAATATACAACAACCCCAAAGACTTCCAAAATCAAAATAATGGAATTAAATACACCCTCTAATAGTTTAAAGGATACAAGTATTACATTATTTCTTTTGTCTGGGCAGTAGAAGTGTGCACAAGTCGATTCGAGTCGGGTTTACCCTCGAACCGATAGCCGAACCGAATACATTGGGTGAAATGAAATTTTATTCGTTGCCGACCGACCAACAGTTCAAAATTGATCGAATTAAACCATGCGGTTTGATGATTGATTCGGTCAGTATTAGAAATACTACAAATCTGAAGAAAAAATTGAAAAGTGGAGAGGAAGAAAGACAAGATAGGCACTGTCGTTCAAAGCTATCACCATGATTGGCACCACCTCCATAGAACAATGCCATCGCCATCTTCTACTATGGAACAATATCAACATCGTTGATATACCACCAACGATCAATGTTGATTGCCATTATCAATTTTTTTAGAGAAGATAGATTAAGGTTCAAAGGAAGGGAGATTGAAGAGGCCAAAGGGTTTTGGAGGAGAGAGAAAGTCGCAACGCATGAGAGAGAGAGATGACCAGTGTAATGGAAGAGAGAAGGATATTTAGTCCAAGTTTGGCATGATTGAAAAAAGACAAAAAGTCAAAAAGTCACTATCCTATTTAAGTCACATCACCTCTCTAACACATCACTTCAAACTCAACTCAAACCCAACCCATATTTCATAAAAAGTCAAAAAGTGCACTTATTTAATCTTTCCAAACTAGGCCTTAATGAGAGAGAGAGAAAAATAGAAAATAGAGATGTACCCTTCAATGAGAAAGAGAGTGTAAATGAAATGAAATGAAAGAGTGGAGATAGAAATCAATGGATTAATGGGAGAGATATACAAAGATTTTTTTTGAAAAAATGAGAGAGGTTAGATGAAGCAGTGGAGAGATGGTCAGCATTTTGGGGGAAGATGAGTCAAAGGTAATGAATGCCTCAAGGAGATAGCCATCAATGTTGAGAGAGAGCATGTCAGCTTAATTAATGTATATTGTAGAGAAAGGGTCGCAGTTTCAATGAGAAAGAGAGAGGGACCGTCAGAAACTGGTGAAGATCCCTAGATTACATATAAAATAAAATTGAATTGGATATGTAACAATACAATAGGTGGGGAAAATGTTATATAATATATGGATATGTGTCTGTCGGGTCAGGTTCTCGAGTTTATTTATATAAAATCGTCATTCGACCGAAATCAACCAAAAATGTTCAATTTTACCCATAATCGACTGAATAGCTTTTCGAAATCACCCATTTTTGGTTGGGCCAATCGGATTCATCGGTTTGATCAGATCTTTGCACAGCTCTACTGGGCATCAAGAGCTTGGTCTCTATTGTTCCGCTCTCTCTCTCCTCTCCTTATTTCTCTCCTTTCTTTCATCTCTTTCTAGAACATTACTACAAACTTTGTCTTCCTCTCTTGATCTAACAAGATCCATTGAATTTTTTACCATAGTTATTAAGGTCAAATTGAAGAACATTTCAAGAGTTTGGTTTTATGCGATGGAGATATTTTTTGACACAATCAATTTTGGAGCTTTTCTTTCTTCTCCTCTTCTAAAATTTGAGATAGGAATTTTTTAAATATTATATATGTATTTTAACTTTATTATGTGTTATTTTGATAGTATGATATTTGAAAAGATTAAAGTCTTATTTGAAAATATTAGAGTTTTATTAATGGTACTTTAAAGTGGGAAGTTCTCAACTTTTTTGAAAATTTCTTATTAGTTGAGTATGATTTTGGTATGACTCATGGGTTTTGAGGAATGTATTTTTTTTTTTTTTAAATGAGAAATTCCTAAATTCTAGTAAAACCATAGAAATTTAAAATGTTAAGATTTAGACTTTTTGGGTTAAGTTTGTGAAAAGCTTAAAAGTGTTAAAAACATATGTTCATTTGAACAAATGAGAATTTGAAAGTGGGTGTTCAAAGGGATGAGATTGATGAAAATATTATTGGAAATATTAGAAACCATTGAGGTTGCTTTTGGAAATTGTTTAATTTGAAAATATTGAACTCTTGAGAAAAATGAAAATATTTATCATGTTAAGGTATTGAGAAAAGTTGAAAGAAACAAATGTTTATTTTGGCATTATGAAAATTTTTGGTAAATTCTTGAGTTTGAATAAAAAGGAAAAATTGATAAAATTTTTGGAAGAATATTATGATTCTTGATTGAGTTGGGAAAAAGGAGATTGAAAATGTGATTATTACTCCTATATGAAATTATTGAAAATTTGAGATTATGAGTTATATTTGTCTCTTAAAATTGATATTTTGTATAGAGATAATTGTTTTGGCAACAGGTAGAGGGTTGTATTAATTGTTGTAAAAATTGCATGTGAATTAGGTAAATTGAAATATTTATAAATTCATGCATAACATTGAACATTTATAATCTCATGATTTACGTCTCACATTGGATTTGAGAAATTAATTTTCAAATTGATTCATTGAGAATATTTGAAATGTGTTGAGTTATAGGGTAAATACGCTTGGTAAGTGTGAATAGGGAGTGTAGATTGGTACTGTTTAAGTTTGCCTGAGTGTCCAGGGTGAAAGATCGAAAACACGCACAGACTAAATACCACGTTCCTTTCGGTTAGGAGCCGATAAAGTGAACATTGGTAGTGCTAGTTATGCCTACTTGCAGACACCAGTGCAGGGATTACCAGTGTCGTAGTTACCACCCCTTGTTCTATCAAATGGATGATTGAATTGGTTATGTTTTTGAGCAAGTGCATGTCATGAGAATTTCAAAATGAGGAAACCTATGATTGTGGCATTGTCATCTCATATGCATTGCACCTCATGATATTGTTAAATTACGTGCACTTTATCTAGATTATCGCTCTTGGGCTTTATGATCATCCCTTAGTAGAAACCATTTTTCAAGTGATTGTGGTGCACCTTTGCTGAAGTGAAGGCATAGAGGATTTTTTTAGAGTACAAGGCTCAATTATTTAGTTGTTTTGTTTTGTTTTGCAAGCCAAGAGTTATCTATGTATAGCTTTAAAAACCTTTTGTTGTAACCGGGCAAAGCCTTGGAAGTTGTAGTTAATTAGGTATTAAATTGTATTTAAATTGTTTTGACTTATTATCATCACCTGCTATAGATTCATATCTTAGGAATGATGAAAATATTAATGTATGTGATCACTCTTTTGTTAAATCTCACATTAAATATTATTAAGAGAATGATGGGGATTTAGTATAAATATTGGTTATGGAAATGTCTATAATACTCAATGTTCTTGTATGTTAATAATTTGAAGTAATGGGGTTTGGACTGTATAAATGAGTTAATCTAGATATATCATATGTCAATATTTTGGGGACGTTACAGTATTCTTGTGCATTGAAGAATAAATAGTTTAGGCTTTTACGTTTTAAGGTCATTTTTTACTATTTATTTCAAAAAAAATTCTTATTCTTATAACAATCTCGCTACGTAGCTCAAAATAACTCAACTCGAATGGCCGAATGTGTTGGCAAGGGGTTGTCTTGTCTTTCGCCCAATCGCACACCTTCGTAGAAGCACGCGTTTGATTTCCAAAAACAGAGACGAAAAGAGAGTAGAGAGAGAGGACGAGGAAATTATAGCTTGCAACCTACTGGCCAACCTGTGTGCTGCTATTGACCACCGACCTGGTTGGTGCTGCTGACCATCGACCTGGGTGACCACCGACGACTACCAAAATTCTCGTTTTGACACCACTGACCATCGACCTATTCTATAATTGCCTTCCGCCTATGTGTGTCTTCAATTCCTTGCACAAGTATGTATTGCTCTTCAACTCCTCCTTACCCTCTTCTGTAATATGTATGTATATATATATGCCTGTGAAAAGTTGAATGTAAGCCCCTGGATTTTCTACTCTTAAGGTGTTCGATGATTTGCTTGTGTTGAAATGGTGGGGTAACGATCTAGGATAGTTAAGGTTTACAAACATATTGATTAATGATCAGAAATTTGTGGGAGAAATCTTGAAACAAATTGAGATTTTGTGGGAGAAATCTTGATACAAAATTGAGATTTTGAAACAAATCATGGTGGAGTAATGATCTAAAATTTGTGAGAGAAATCTTGAAAATGTTGATGATATACTATGATTTGGTAATGATTTGTACCTACGATATACTGTGTGATTTTGAAACCTGGATGACTAATATTATACGAACATATTGATCTGTTGGTGTTGGTGTTGGTATACAAACAAATTGAGACTTTTGGTTTAAACTGAATCTTGTAACAAGTTGTTTTTTTGCCTCTATTTAATTGCTTCTTTCCATGGAAATAAAAACAGTTGTAAAGGTTTAGTTTTTGAAACTATTGTTAGATAGGTAGTTATTGGAACTGTTATCTGATTTGGTTGTTTGTGTACTTTCAATTTTTAGTTGCAAAAATGTATTCACGGTTCTTGCTTGGGCTGCTTTTTACTTAATTTCTTTTCAAATAAAAGTGTGTTGATTGGATTATGCTTTATTGAGTACATAAAGGTTTGGACTTATTTAGGATTGTATACTCTTTCTCAGTTTCTCTTTCTGAATCTATATTTCAGTTGTAAGTTATAATGGACATTGATTCAAATAATACTTCATTCAATGGGATTGAGGAAGTTGAAGAACCGGAGAACAATCTTTCATTAAATGAGAGTGGAGAAGTTGAAGGATCGAAGAAGGGTATGTATTTTATCTCAAAGCAAGAAGTGTACGCGTTTTATGCTAAATATGAGAAACACCTTAGATTTGCTATAGCTTATAGAACACAAAATATTGGAGATGATGGGGAGGTAAAATACTTTGGAATTGAATGTACTCGAGCGCGGAAAAGAACAAAAAGATCAGAAGTAAATCCCCTGAAACCATCTTTGTCATCAAAAATTGAATGTAAAGTAAGGGTAAGAGCCAGTCTACAAAAGGATGGAAGATATAGGTTAACCATAGTTGTGCTTAAGCATACTCATGACTTGATTCCTAGCAACTCGCGACATTTTGCAATGAATAAGAGGATTCTTACTCCTGTGAAAAGGAGACTAGAAATAAATGATGCAGTAGGGATAGGGGTGGCTAAGAATTTTCATTCTATAGTTGTTAAAGCGGGGAGATATGAGGCATTAATATTTGATGAACGAGATGCAAGGAATCACATTGAGAATGCTAGAAAATTGACACGTGGGGTAGGAGATGCCGAATCAATTGCACTTTATTTTCATAACATGTAAAAAACAAAATTTGAACTTCTATTCTGCAATTGACTTTGATGAAAATGATCGCATGCGAAACTTGTTTTGGGCAGATGCAATGAGTAGGGTGGCTTATAAAGCATTTGGGGATGTTGTCTCATTTGACACAACCTATTTGACAAACAAATATGATATGTTGTTTGCTCCGTTTGTAGGAGTTAATCACCATGGACAGTCAATTTTGTTTGGTTGTAGGCTGTTATGTAATAAGAACACAAAGACATTTGTTTGGCTATTTAGTAAATGGTTAAGTTGCATGTCAGATGCTTACCCAAAAGTCATAATAACTTACCAGTGCAGAGCTATGAAAAATGCCATAGATATTGTATTCCCACAGGCTCGACATCGTTGGTGCTTGTGGCATATAATGAAGAAAATTTTGGAGAAATTGAAATGATATTCCCAATATGAATTTATAAAGTTCGCTTTGCAAACTGCAGTTTATGATTCTTTCATAAAAAAATGAATTTGATGAAGAATGGCAAGCAATGCTTGCAAAATTCAATCTATATGATAATGAATGGTTGGGGGTATTATACAATCAGCGACATAAGTTGATTCATGTCTGTGTGAAAGACATTTTTTGGGCTGGCATGTCAACTACACAATGAGGTGAGAGCATAAATGCATTTTTTGATGGATATGTGAACTCGACAACTACTTTAAAGCAATTTGTTGAGCAATATGACAATGTCTTGAGAGGAGACCAAAGCAGACGTCAAATCCCGTAACAAATTGCATGATTGGTTAACGATGTATCGTTTTGAGAAGCAATTTCGTGAAGCCTACACAAATGCAAAATTTAAAGAGGTTCAAGCAGAATTGAAGCTCTATTGTACTGTAATGTGACTCTTCTGAAAAATGAGGGATCAATTAGTACCTATCATGTCAAGGAGGTTGTTCTAGTCGATGGTTTGAGTTTAGGGACATTATGTGTGCCCATTTATTTAGTGTGCTCATTGAGAGGTGCATCTATGTGGTTCCAAATAAACACATTGTCGAGAGATGGAGAAAACATTTGGAAAAAGGGTACACATGCATTCCAACCACATATACTAACTTCGGGGCTGCTCTCAGTGCAAAGTTGTATGACACGTATCACAAGATGTTAGAACTTGCTACCAATGATGATGGTAAACACAAAGTGATTCAACTTGGGTTGAAGGAAATCAAGGATAGAGTGAGAGAAAAAATATCAGGTTGTGCGAGTAATGCGCCACGTAGTAGTACTGTACCACCTCTTACTAGTGCACCACCTTCTAATACTTCCCCGAAAAGTCCGCCTGGTCACAGTACTACAAAAGCAAGCATGACTCACAAGGTGCTTAGTCCTTTGGTTGCTCACCGAAAAGGTTGTCCATGTACCAAACGGAAGGTTAGTAAAGTGAATGAAATCGTGAATCAGTTGAAGGGAAAGAATAAGAAGGCTACGAATGTTTAGGTAAAGTTTTAATTATATATTTTGTTTGTTTGTTTTTATTTTAATCTGTCAAATTGTTAATCGAATTGTGCTACTATTTGATCATAAGGTGCCGCAATCTCAATCTTACTACTTTTCTTACATGGATGGCATACAAGAGAGTATGTATGTACCAATATATGTTGAAGATATGAGTACAAATATTTTTTGTAATATTTAAATTTCATATTACTCAAGATGTTTGTGGACAATATTTGTAATATGGACTTTGTTTTTATAGGTAGGGTTACCCCAATGCAAATGGTGGACAATATTGGAAGCACATCTCATACTCAATCAAGAATGAATATAAGCAATCAAAGTTCTACATTAGCTTCAAAATTTCTTAACTTTAATATAGATGCGAATCCAAATGCCCCATTTTATTCTTAGTGCCAAATCAATTATTTTATGACTATTATTTGTAAACTTTGGATAGTTTGGTTTCATTTGCGTTGGATATGTTAGCCCCAAGGTTATTTACATTTTAATTTTATTGATTTTGATTATTGATAAATATCTTGAGCTTATTAAATTATTCAAAGTTTTCAAGATATTTCCATATCTTTGCTCTTCAAAGATGTATGCTTCTAAATTATTATATCCCCACTAGTATTGGTACTTCTAAATTATTATATCCCCACAAGTATTGGTACCTCAAAGCAATAGAATATGTTTACTTGTGCAAATGTTACTCTTGCTTAAACAGGTCAAAGGGTTGACACTAAGACATGTTAGCATCGACACCAAAAAACAGTGAGCAAAGCTTTGGTGTTCAACAGGAAAAGGTGACACCAAAAACATGACAGGGTCGACACCCAAAAACAGTGAGCAAAGCTTTGGCTATTCAACAGTAAAGGGTTGACACCAAAAACATGATAGGGTCGACACCAAAAGACAGAGAACAAAGTTTAAGTCTTCCAACAACAAAAGGTTGACACCAAAACTGCAAGGGTCGACACCCTTAAATCTGGGTTTCAAAACCTAGCCGCCATTTCTAATCTATTAGCAGACTTTGCTGATTATGATGTGGGTTTATTTTTTTCCTGTTTGTGATGTGGGTTTATTTTCTTTGTTGATGGTTATATTTTTTTTTTCCCGTTATTCGAGATGTGGGTCATTGGGTTTATTTTGTTGGTCTCAACTTGTAAATGAAGTAGGTACTTGTATGTTAATGATTATAAATTCAAGCTCATTTATTTTATCAAAAACAGAGAGTCGTTCAAGCTCATTTACTTTATCAAAAATAGAGACTAGCTCTAAGGAACACAGTGACAGTAAATACTAGAGGATGATAGAACACCAGAGAAACAAAGGTGACCAAATAAATTTCTGACCAATTCTAGGGTGCCAACAACATATACTCGTAATCCACATCAACAACTATTGAAAATAGAACAGTTTTATCATTACTGATATACCCACATTCAATTTATCACAACACATACACACAATCCATCAAGTCCATTCAATCCATAAATACATTCATGAAATTCTCCAAAAGCTAACAACTCAGTAATTTACATTATAAAGTACGAAACGATACAAAATACAAAGACATAAAGCATCGCCTTGAAATTCTTCTCCATCTTTCGAAACCTTCTATCATGCTCATGAAATTCATTGTCCATCTCTGAAAGCCTTGTTCTTAGATTGTTAAATTCTTCGATTCTTATAGGTTTACAAGGTCCAGCATTGGAATGGATTATGGAGGTCATGTCGTCGTCGTCGTCATCATTTGTGAACTTGAAGTAATTGCAGTATTCCTTATTACTCTACAATGCACAACTATCAATTAATCAAATCACACTAATAAATTTCCAAATAAATTTCCTTACGGCTTACATATTTTGAAGGGCAAACAAAGAACAAACGCGCTTGATTTCTATTCTCATTGGTTCGTACAATATACAAGGCAGTTGTTCTCCCACAATCACAAAATTTTGGTTTTAATCTTATGTTATTGTTAGCAGATGAAGAAGCCATTTTTTTATATGCATACAAAATACAAAATAGAGACATGATACATAGATAGCTACTGTTGAAATTTTAACTAAAAAATGAAGAAAAAAAAAATGTTTCTTGGTTATAACTATGGTCTCTAACCCAACACTATGACACCAGTTCAACCTGATGATAGGATACAATTGAACAAAGACACTAAAAAGCAATTAAAAAGTAAAGACAAACCTACAACAGATTTATGACCTTAAGTTAACTACATTTCAACATTTCCAGATTTCAACCATTTAGGGATGTTCATTAACATTGGTCATCAAATTGAGTTAGAGAATAATGGGTAAAGAATAGATTTCATCAACAAATATCCACATTTCAAATGCACAGATTTTAGAACATTGTATTGTCCATGCTTTTGTAATTGAACCTTGTGGAGTAAATTGAAGTAATTAAAAAGTAAAGATAACCCCACAATAGATTTATGACCTTAAGTTAACCACATTTCAACATTTCCAGATTTCAACCATTTAGGGATGCTCATTAACATTGGCCATCAAATTGAATCAGAAAATAATGGGTAAAGAATAAATTTCATCAACAGATATCCACATTTCAAATGCACAGATTTCACAAGTTAGAATAATGGTTTACAATCAAAATCAAAATAATAATAAAAAATTGAAGGCAAAACCCATAATGCCCAAACCCTAACAATCATAAATTCATAAGTCCCAAAAACATGTTCTAAAAATTCAAGGCAAAACCAAAATCCTAACACAAATTGTAGGCAAAATCCAAACACAAACAGTCTACTATGACGAATTTGTTTGGGAATTGAAGCCAACACATAAACCCTAGTTTTTTTGAGATTCTGGATTCACCTTTTGTTCTGGTAGGTAAACTACTTTCTGGAATCGTTAATGTATGAGATACATCGCACATCCAGTAGGTGAAGCGTTTTTGGTCGTCCTTCGCTATCTGTGAGTCGACACCGGTAGCTAAGCACCTTCTCTATGCTTTCACAGAGATGGATGTTTCATAGAGGGATGAGAGATGAGATGATACAAGAGCGATGAGAGGATGAGAGGATTTCGAAGAGATGAAGGGATCAAATGCTTTTGGAGTTTGAGAAGAGCGATGCTTTTGGAGTCTGAGTTTGGAGTGAGTAGAGAGAGATGCTTTTGAAGTCTGAGGAGGGAGAATAGTCATTGCTTGTGTTCAGGCAATTTGAGCTCATTTATTTCGAGCTACAAATCATTTTTGTTCTTACAGAATGTAAAATCCTAGGAACTTTAACTATAAATAAATATTTAGGTCAAGTTTAGCTATCTTAAATAAGTACATATTTTTTATCTTTTTATCTTTTTTTCATCACATTATCTCTCTATTTTTTTGCACATCTTTTCATAAAAAGACAAAAAATATACTTATTTAGGTCATCCTAAACAAACCCTTAATATGCTAAAATTCTAACATAAGTATATGAAGGGATGTATTCTTAATTTTCTTTTAAAACCCCTATTTTTTCCGAATTTCAATCCAAATTTTAATAAAACTGAATTACCTTGTCTCAATCTTATATAGTTTACAATTATACATTAAAGCCAAACACAAAATATCAAAAAATGAAATTGAAATAAAATATGAGTTTACTTTACTTTATATCTCTAAACTATTGTCAAATTATCTATTTAATTCATGAATTATTGATTGAATCTCTAAAGTGTATAAATTAAAGTCTACTTAGTCCTTAAACTATCGATAAAATCTATTAAATATTTAATTCAAAAATTTACAAAAATAAAATATAAGCCCATGAGTTTTATAAATTAGGCAAAAACCCTACGTAGTTAAGATTTTATTGCAGAAATATTTTAAATTTCTATTATGTCTTTAAAAAGTAGGATTGGGATCAGTGCTATGAGGTTCTGTGGGCGTGTATCCTAAATCTTTTTCGATGATTTAAACCATTTATATTGTAGGATTTGTCGAGTTTATTATTCATAAAAAAAATTCAAGTTAATTAGATATATGTAACCTCAAAATCCGTCCTAATTTTTTAAAAAAAAATTATTAAAATTAGAGAAAATTGCTAAAAAAATCCACTCTAGCAATTGTCTCAGGTATTAGGTCCAGTGGATGTTTTTTGTTGGTGAGAGACCCACCATTTCTAAAATAATTTGGTGAGAAGTCGTTTTGTTCATTTTAAAAGACATTTTGTCTTCAAACTTATCCCTTAATTTATCTGTTGACTTTTTTTAACTATCTATTAAAATTTATATCTATCTGTTCAAATTTATTATCTATATATTCAAATTATCTTCTATCTGTTTAAATTTATATCTATCTGTTCAATTTTTTGACTATCTGTTCAATTTTTTCCCCTTTATTTGTTCAAATTTTGTAATCTATTTATTTATTTTTTATCTATTGAAATACTAAGCCAAACAAGATTCTACCTATTGAAATACATAATCAAACCAACCCCTATCTGTTGCAATAACAAGCCCTTATCTTTTTAAATTTTGAATAGATCTATCATATTATCTGTTCAAATCCTATTATTTGTTCAAATTTTGAAGTCCAACAATCTAGATCCAACAATAACAGATCTGTTTCAATGCTATTTACATATTTGTTTTATCATCAACTACAACATAAAGAGTTAAAAAATAAAAAATAAAAAATAAAAAAGGGAGAAATAAGTTCATCAACAACAACAACTACTGTTCATCCTTGAATGTCACCAACTCGAACCTCCTAAATCTGCCAGTCTCACGATCATTGATGATCTAAAAAACCAAATCAACCCACAAATTGATCAAATTTCACACATCTAAAAATAAAATTAAAACTAAAAAGTATGAAATCGGTGGTCACCACCAGACTATCACATCTCAAAACCTCTTTCATTTCATCCAAAGATCACACACAAGCCCTAAGAGAGGGAGAGAGAGAGTTAATATGAAATCAATTATTGAATCTAAGGGTTCGTTTGGAAAGTGGGTTAGCTTTCTGATTTTTTGGCTATTTTAGCATGCAGCTAAAAAGCCTCGTTTGGGAAGGTTTTTTGGGTTTTTTGATTTTTTTGTGAGAGAAAGAATGTAATGATTATGGATTAGATGTAATGTTTTGTTTTATTGGGCTAAAAAGCCTATTTTATTTTTTATGGCTAAAATAGCCAAAAAAAATCCCCAAACTTGGCTTTCCAAACAAAGTCTAAATGACTAAACCTAAGATTGTGGAAGCAATTAAACAGTGCATCGATGGAGTATGCGAATCTAGGAAGAGAAATCGACAGATTTAGGAGTTGAAGAGAGAGAAAGAGAGTTTAGGGTTTGAGAGATCGTACCTATAGAGATGCGGTGGTGGATCGAAAGATACCAAGCAGTGGTTTGAGCAGAGAGCTCTATGTATATGTATCTCGATCCTAGGGCTAAACTATATATGTGTGTGTGTGTGTGTGTGTGTATTGTTTGAATTGTGGAGGTCTGATTTGGTGATGATAGTGACAGATCCATCGTCGGTGAAGCATATGTGCGGCAAAAAATGAAGCCAATGCTGAAACAAATGGATGAAGAGGAGAGAGAGAGAGAGAGAGAGAGAGAGAGAAAGAGAGAGAGTAGGGATGCCAATGGGATTAGGCGGGGCCGGGGATCACGTTCCCCGTCCCTAATCCCCGATGGTGGAAATTCCCCCCGATGGGGAACCTATCACCGCCCCCGCCTCCTAACGGGGATCGAGTTTTCTCGACCCCAAAAATTTTCCAGCCGAAATAAAAAAAAAAAAATCAGCTCCAAATCTAATCAGATCCAAGCAGACTGTTTCTTGATTTCCAATTGTAGATCTAACAACACAATCACAAAATTCTATAAGAATACAAGAATTCATCAACAAACAACATCATTACTAAATCATATATGTTCATCATCATCATCATCATCAACAACAACACACCCATACACCAAATTTAACACGTATATTCAACAGATCTAAGAGATCTAGGCTCAATTGTAAAAAATAAAAAATTTAACTCATTAAACAGATCATCATTTTCTTTATCTTCATCAACAACAGATCTAAGCTCAAATCTAATATATATATATATATATATTTAAAACATAGAGAGAGAGAGAGAGAGAGTGTGTGTGTGTGTGTGTGTGTGTGTGAGAGAGAGAGAGAGAGAGAGAGAGAGAGAGAGAGAGAGATGGAGATGGATGGGGCAGATTTGAGGGAAGAGAGTGGTGCGAAACCCTAGCCTTAAGTAGAAATGGCGACGGATCTAAAGGGGGACTCCTCAACTTGGATCTTGGCACCAGTGACTAGGGGTGTGCATAATACCGCCAAAACCGCACCGAACCGCACCGCCAAGGCAAATTCGTTATTATTTGCCAATCGAACCGCCGATTTTTTGTAAGAAAAATGGTAATTTCTAGTGACACTTTTATCAATCTGCCGGTTTCTATTTTTCTTCCAAACCGCACCGACCCGCACCGCTATTAAATCATGTTTTGTAAGATTCTAAAAATTCTTTTTTACTTAAGTTTGCTTGTTGTTCTATACCTTAGAATATAGTATTACATTACTGCTCGAGGGGAATTCAAGATGTCAGTAATCCAAAATAAAGTTGGATTCCAATTCACTTTTCAATCTTTTTTTTTTCTAGCCATGTTGCAATCTTGCATCAGCTCACTTTTCAATCTAAACACTTTTCAACAGTAAACATTTTCAATATATTATAAATCCTGAATGATATTAATTTTATATATTGTATTTGATCATTGTAGCTTCCACAGATGCTTGTAATGAACTGATGGCATAGTCGTTGATATTATCATGTTGTTGCTACACTTGCTGCATAAAACTACATGATATGGACATGCATGCATGAATTAATATTTCTTCCTACTCCTTAAGCTCAAGTCTCATATCTCATAGCTCAATTCACTTGAATTCATAGATGTTTCAACTTAAATTCAAGACTAGGGACTTGACTTCTTACCTTAGGTGTTCAATTTGGGCTTTAGGTGCTAAATTCTTGAGCTAGATGAACAAATCTTCAAAGTTTCTTCTTTTCTCCTAACAATTCCCTTTGTTTTGAGTTCAATTCTTGAGCCTAGGATCCAAGTCTCCCTATTCTCTCATTTCCTCACGTTTGAGCATCATAAATAAAGAATGAGATGTAAGGCTCAACTTAGTGGGGTCAAAAATGGCCTTATTGGTGGTAATTAATCATAATTAATCACATGGCATTAATTTAATCTAATTTAATCCTTCCGAACCAAATTTTAAATAAACCTACCATAAAATTCTATAAATCCTGATTAGCATATAAATCAAGTCAATTTCTGAATCAGTTGCCGATAAGGCTTTCAATTCGCAAATTAAAATCCAAAACATGAACAGATCTTTCTATATCAAACAAATAAGATTGCATTCAAAGCAACACACTCACACAATCAATCTAGGATTTCATCTTAATCATTTACTTAGTATGCTTAATCATGAATTAGTGTTAACCATGAGTCGGGGTTGTCACACTTCTCCACTATCATCACCAAGTTTCTGGTTTTGCTCTAGCAGTGTGTTACAAGTTTTACTTCCAAGTATATCCTAGTTTTCTTTAATAGGTCAAGCACATATTTCCTTCGACAGATAAAGATTCCATCCTTGGACCAAACAACCTTAATACCTAGTAAATACCTCAAGTTCCCCAATTCTTTGATTTCAAACTTGCTTATTCCTTCAACCGAGAAATTTCCTCAACATCATCTCTTGTAAGTACTAAGTTATCCACATATACAATGAGAACTATAGTCTTACCCTATAAGGAATGTTTAATAAATAGGGTGTGATTAGCTTGGCTTTGTTTGAATCCATATCTAAGCATTGCTGAGTAAATCTCTTACACCAAACCCTTGGAGACAATTAAAGACCATATAATGATTTTCGAAGTGTATACACTTTACCCTTTGTTTTAAGGTCTTCAAAGCCAGGAAGAATGTCCATATACACCTTTTCTTCTAGATCACCATGTAAGAAAGCATTCTTCACATCAAACTGGTGAAGTAACCAATCCAAATTAGTTACAAGAGAGAGGAGTACCCTAACTAAATTCATCTTAGCAATTGGTGCAAATGTCTTTTGATAGTCTACTCCATAAGTTTGAGTAAAACCATTAGCGACAAGCTGAGCCTTATAGCGCTCAATCGAACCATCTGCCTTTTACAACATTGTTACTCATAGAGAACGGGGCTGTAAGCGGGCT